GTATAAAATGATTTTTCTTTCAAGCCTTAATTTAAGAATCAAAGCCCTATGAATTTGGATATTTTGCACTTTTATAAAAGAATGTGGTAATTTTGTGTGATTATTATAACATGTTATTAAAAGTGGACACCTTATATGATCAGAACTATGTCAAATTGCATAAAAACACATATGTATGTTTGCATTATCGTTAGGTTTGAACTTTGTTACTTTTTCTAGTACACAAGTGGTTCATATCATGCTAATGTGTTCCTTGTGGTGACTCTTGCTATAATTATGATTGTATTACCAAATGTTTGACAATATATGTATATGTGTGAAAGTTTTAGTGTTAGAGTTGTCAAATTAGCTATTTCCAATGGAAAATGTAATATAGGATGAGTTTCAATTATTGAAGGAGACTTGTGATGTGAGATTATTTTGACTTTACTAGTATTTAGCTCACATAGAATATGATAACAACTAAGTGGTGAGAGTGAAGGGGACTTTCATAGGATAACATATAATATGAAAAGGATTATACTCAATGAGATAGTGGCAGTTACATTCCCAGTACCGAGCATTCCTATATGATATTTCACTGATGGTTGTTGTAGAAAATGAGGAAGGTTAGTATGATAAGTGCGGAGTCTCACAGTTCATTTACAGATCACTTTTTTTTGAAGAAGCAAAGTCTAGATGTATTTTTCGATTTTTTAACCATTGGGCTGAGATATGTTGGCTTAATACATGGTATTTGAATTTTATGAATGCGAATTGTATTCGTTTTTGGACTAGTTCAATACAATGAATTTTTATTGTTAAATGAGTTTTAGGAAATAATGAATTTGTTAAAATATAAAATGGAGAAGAACTATGTTAAGAATTGATTTCCATTAAATATTTGTTTTGGTAATGTTTATTGTAAGTTGTTATTATTTTTATATTAAGTTTCTTCTTTAAATGCATCATGTGAGTTTTTATGATGGAATTTAAAGACAGTGTTCACTTAGTAGATAATTGAATTAGGTAAAGAGATCAGACCAGATAATTTAATAACTTATTTTTCTCTCAAATATATTTAGATATTCTTCTAGTATGTTATATATGCTGTCCTATAGTATATTATTTCTCGTAATTTTTTACGTCTTAGTTTAAATCCTGTTTTTATAAAATTTTATCTAACTCGAAGTTTTTTAGAGTTGGAAGATTTTGTGGATAAGAAGATATGATCTTTCTAATTTGAGATTTATCATTTAAAAATTAGTTTATTTTTGTAACTGTGAGTTTCTTATTATTTTGTGATAATCATATATTTTAAATATCATGGAAGCATAGACCAGAATTGATGAGATTAATAATTTGGATTTGAAATCAGAATTGAATAATTAATATAAGAATACCTTAGATCCATAATCTATTCTTTTTGAAAACAACATTTAAGTTCATAGTTATATTTTGAAATTCTTAATGACTTTATTTTTAATGTATTATGAAAGACTTCAACTGACAAACTTATCTAAAAACTGAAATGTGAATCAGTTAACCCTTAATTACTAATACTATGGTTAACATAATGATATTAAGTACTTTACTAATTGATATTTTTTAATTTTTTTGAATTATTACAATAACAAATAATTATGTTTAAGTAATTCACATAATTTTTAAATTAGGGTTAAATATGTTTTTAGTCCCTTAAGTATCACACAATTTTGAATTTAGTCCCTACTCGAAACTTTGATGGCTTTTTAGTCCTCATAGTTTTGAAAATATTATAAATAGTCCCTAATTTTGGATGCGTTACTTTTGTTTGACGTGACTACCGGTCAGCCTAACGTCTGATGCCAGGTATGAGTTTTTATTCTCTTCTGCCACGTTTTCTTTTCTTTTTATTCCAAATTTGCACACAAGTCGTTCCTAATTTTTTCAATGTTTACACTTCAAGAAGGAACCACCTAAAATTAGGGGGGTTCAGAAACACCGCAATGAGGTCCAAGAAGGCGAAACCCAAATCAAAGGGGCTCCAATGAAGAATTTTGAAGTTGAACATAATAATTTTGAGGTTTCACTTTCAAAACTTCATCATCATCACCTTGTGGGAATGCTACAAATCATAATAATATCCCTGTTGGGCATTCTTATGATCCCAGAAAAGGACTTGTCTCAACTTCTATTCTAGCCTCCTCATGAGGGATTAGTGATGGCCCAATATTGATCTCCGCTATTTAATGCAATTTCCTCAACCAAAACCCCAGGTTTCTGATATGGGAATTGAGAGCAGTAATCCAAATCAACGTTTTGAAACAAGCTTTGATCCTTCTCTGAGAATAAATAATTCAGGCTATCAAACACAGAATGTTTTTGATCCAAGTACTTTTGCCGAAGAATTTTGTCTGACTGGGTTGTTTGAATCTTTCCAGAACAACCAACCATCCACACATTCTATTGAGGCTAATAATTAAAGATGGCCCAAGGGTTGACTCAACGTTATTCATCATCTATCAACAAAGTGGAATCCAGCAGTGTAGTAGTCATGGTGGTGCTGTGAATTTTGAGCTGCCGCCATTACCTGGTGAAGTGGAAGCGCCACCGACATCTCCTTCAAATCGCGCTGTCATCGTCGAGAGAGAAAACCAGAGCCACCAGATGGTGGTTTCATCTTCACCGGACCACCTCGTGCAAGCCAACGCGTCAACCTCCAAAAACCTACAAGAATCAAACCAAGAAGCCAGAGACACAAAAAACCCATCACGAAGCCACTATCCCCATTCTCGCAAGTCATAACTCCATACTAAAAGATAGATTTTTCGCAGCAACTCGCGCCATCTAAGCAACCCTAATTTCAGTGTTCCTTCTGAAGTGTAAACATTGAAGAAATTAGGGGCTTGTGTGCAAGTTGGAATAAAAAGAAAAGAAAACGTGGCAGAGAATAAACTCATATCTGGCATTAGACGTGGGCTGGCCGTTAGCCACGTCAAACAAAAGTTAACGTCATCCAAAATTAGGGACTATTTATAATAGTTTCAAAACTTAAGAACTAAAAGCCATCAAAGTTTCGAGTAGGGACTAAATCCAAAATCGTGTGATACTAAGGGATTGAAAACATATTTAACCTTCAATTAGTAGTTTTCATAATATTTCATTTATATATAATCGTTTAACTGTAAGTCATGAGGTATAGTATATCAACGTAAACAACTTACTTTATCAATTTTTAGAACACATTATAATAATGACATATTACAATATTTTTTAGAGTCGTTCAGTTCTATCTTTTTAATTTCTATTTTTATATTTATAATTTTTAACATTTTGAACTTTATAATTTTCTTAAAATATAGCATATTAGTTTACGAATGTATTTTTATTAATAAAGGATAATTTATAGTTTGATTAGTGATATTAACCTCTATATATCATTGATTGTGGATATACATATAGATGTTTGAATTGGTTAAACACATTAACAACTAAAAAACGAAGAAAATTTCAACGGTTCAGATACATGCCTCTGAAATACATAAAATAAAAATCAAACTTTTAGCACTATACACTAACAATTTTAGCCCAACATACAATGACCCTAGCCTATAGAATCGTCATCATGGGATGACCACAGTTGTGTAGTTAACAAATGTGCCTAATTATGCATTAATGCAGTGCATAAAAAGGTTACATCCATTAGTAGGTATCAAGGTTCTCTCAATAACTTTATTTCACTTGCAGGCTCTCAGTTCAGTGAAACATTCAATTCGAGATAACGTTGACACGTGACCACATTTATAACCTTTTTTACTTTTTTTAAAGTGTGACGCTCAATCACGTGACACCATACAAAATTCACATGGATTAGGCTTTAGTCACATTCTCCACTACCAGGTGGTATATATAAATTTATTACACGCAAGTTAGTAATTCTTATAAGGTTATATATATATATATATATATATATATATATTATATATCTATATATAGATATCTATAGTATATATATATATATACTTGAGATTTAAAAATATTGTTTCTAGTTAAACAGCTGCACTTATAATTGGAGAACGTTTCGAGTTTATTTTATTTGAGAATATTATTAGAAAAGATAAAACATATTTTTATTCTTATCCTTTTCTAACAAAACAGGTTTATTTCCTTATTTTTGAAACATCTATTTTAATCTTTTTTTTCCTTGGAGTCAATGATACCCTTTCAATGAAAATCTTATACTAAATTTGTAATTAGTCGTTACAATTTATTTTGACAAGTTTAATGTGTAAAGTACTTCAGAGCCTGGCTACAAAAAGACAAATTAACTCAAATTTGGAAATAACTTATTCAAATAAACATTCTAAACGATATAAGACCAAGAACAAATTTAATAAAAACATAAAAGGACAATGACATATTTTATCCTATTATGGAAATAATATTTTATTTTTGTTTTACTTTTGAGTTTTAAAAATTATAAGTATAATATTTGTTATGCAAATTTTAAAACAAAGGATTTAAAAGTTAATGTTTCCTTACATCATACTATATAATGGGATTTCACAAATTCCTTCTGATTAACCTGAAAGTATAATGAATTAAATATCATGCAGAAAAACTTTGCATCATTCTTGACTTATCATCATTAAAGTGAAAGGAATAAATTTTTTGGCTTATACCCCTTAAAGGAATGGCAATTCCTTGGCACCAAACAAGACCCACTAGTTAGAACTATGAATGTCACATTAATGGAAAGATTCTAACAGTCCACATACCTTAGATGCCATTAGATGACAATAGTTCTACAGTCAAAACTAACATTGATATAATAGTGACTTAACATACATAGATGTCATAGAGACATAGTTCTACATCAAACACTAACATGATATAGTGCCTGACAACTAACCATAGCAGTGCTTACACAATACTATGAGCATAGCTTACAGTGGTCCAACAAAACCAAAATACCACAAAAGGGATAAGTTAAAAAGCTTCATAGAGAGGAAGCCTTCTAATAGTTTTTCTTAACTGTAGCTAAGCTGGTGTTGATCTAAACAACATTCCTTCAGTAACCTTCACCACATTGAGAGAGTCCTTGCTCCAGTTAAATTTCCCAATACCAATATTTCCTGGTGTGCTTCATGATGGATCCATCAAAAGACTGTGTAACATGGCTTTTGTGAGCCAAGTATTGGCTGCAATATTAGTCAGTTTGGTAAGGATTATTTAAACTGACATTTGACATTGTCCTCTCAGTGTGTTGGTTGCAGTTCTTGGGGTTTTGATCAGAGTCTAATGGGATGGAGTCAGTGAGAGTTTTTATAGCAAATTCAATACATGGATCCATCCATGACATGTCAAGTGTTTTTTCAGAAGATGGTGATGTATTTTCATTCTTGGCTTTCATATCGATTTTGGCAGCATCACCAGCATGTTCTTGAGAAGTAGCAAGGCTCCCTGGAGATGAGAACACACTGTCACCTCCCCCATCATTGCATTTCTTTAACTTGTCCTTCACCCCTGAGACTGTGCAGAGTTTTCAACTGTTGGTGTCTTTTAATTCACAAGAAGTTTGTGAGTTTTTGGAGGTCTCAAATGTTAAGCCGGTGAGAGTTTGAATTGCAAATGCAATACAAGGGTCTGTCAGCAGTTCTTTGAGGGGAAAGCCAAGGTTGTAATCTAACTTTGTATCAACTTTATCTCCATTTTCAGTGACTCTCATACACTCTTCAACAGTAGCATTGTTCTCCAAAGGTGAAAAAGTGAAGCATTCTTTATCCTTGCCACTTAGTTGCTGTTTAGCTAGATCATCATGCAAGCTGCTGGGAGATTTATCTACATATGTGATGGTTTCTTCCTCACTTGATTGTTTAACCGCTGCTTGACGTGCTCCACGTGCTCGATTTCTTGTTTTAAGTTCTGGAACAGGATCAAGCTTAATTCCAGCAAGACGCTTTGAGGAACGGCGAGGCAAATTGATCTGTTTCTTGTGTTTGTTTCTGCACTTATGATGTTGGGCCTGCACTTTTTCAGTTCCTTGCTTTGTCTCTGTGTTTTCTTGAAGTTTCTTCTCTTGGGTATCTTTGTTAGTGCAACCTGAAACCAAATCACTTTAAGCAAAACCAATCTTCACTTCTTTTCTGATCTGAATTTTCATTCACCCCGTGATAGAACTGACTGGGTCAATTCAGTTCCTACCACACCTAATCATTTAATAAACTCAACAAATGCAATATCTCTATTAATATGGAAAAAGAAAATTTTAGCATAAATACAAAACTTCTTTCCACTTTATCTAGAATGAACAAATTTTTAATTTTATACAAGAATTGAATACAAAAACTGTAACTGCATGAAAAATATATCTTGGTTTGCACAAGATAGCATAATTTCATATAAAGTTCATAAGCAAATGTCAGTCACCAAAAATATGATAACAAAACTAAAGTGGTGAAGAGCAGTGCAATAATAGCATTTAGTTGCATCTAATTAGATGTATTCAATGCTGTCATGTTCAAAGAAAGATGGGAACTTTACCATGATTGGAAATACAGTTAGAGTCAGACATATGCATATGTTCTCCAGAACTAGCAGATCTTGGAATCTGTTGGTAATTTGCTACCTTGTCCAAAGTTGAGCTATGAGCCATGCTAACTGATAATGTTGGTTTCATGATCACACATGCTGACTGAAGAAATCACAAAGACAGAAAAATTGTATAAGTACAAACCTTAGTAGTAGCATTAATGATTCTCTTCTCCAGTTTTAATATGCCTATCTTAGAGAATTTAAATCCACACAGAAAACCACATGATGGGGAAGGTGGAGTGGAAGGGAAAGTTTAGCATGTGAGACTAATTAATGAATAGACAAACTAAAAGAAACACAATTATGACCACCCATACTGGAGATTTGTCATCTTTTAAATTTGTATCATTGTTGTCTTCATCTTTTGGCTTGAGTGTGTTCCTTCCCATCTCTTCAAGATAGTGATAAGCATCTTCAATTGAGTGGAATGTATACCCACTTACAGGGTCGATGTAGTACTGCATATATAAACAAATTAGAAGGGTGAATTAATTATTTTTACATTGATTGGTGATACATAAAGGCCAAGAAAATCTAGATAAAAAGTTGTACATCCTTCTACTCTTACTGCTCAAGTGATGTAGTAATATGAATCAGAAGTAGGTGACTGCACACTTTTGAAGTTTAGTAAAAGTCAAAATGGACATGAATAGACTCTAGAATATGTATGAGTTTCATTAAATTGGAATAACAATAAGAGAATGTTAGAGGAATAATTACAGAAAGGTGATGGTGGAAAGGAAGACGCTTTTAGAAGATAATTTATCTCATAGCTACAGGGCAGATATCATGTTCACAGTTGCCTAGATTCATGGCTAATCCAAGCAATTTTCTTAGTTGGACACCGAAGGGGGAGATAAGGTATATCCAAGGCATTAATGATTAAGGAAAAGAAAAGTATCAAAGTGAAATGAAGAACTAGTTGAATTTTGAGACTGATTTTAAGTGATGCCTGGAGTACTCTCAGGACTTTCAAACAGACAATCTTTAGAGAAACACTGAATATGCTAGACAAAAGTAATCAGCATTTTTGTCACAGCTGAACAAGGCATCATCACTTCATTTGTAAAGTGATAGAAGACAAACATTTAAGGTGAACTTTGCAGGTCAGAAGATCTAGTTACAAACAGTTTTACTAAAGCAATCAGATGAATACCAATATGGAAAATGCTCATTAAGAGCATTGTAAAGATTATTTGGACATATTGGTATGGAAAATGCTCATTAAGAGCATTGTAAAGATTATTTGGACATAGTTCCACCCACCCCTGCCCCCCTTAAAAAGTGTAGCTACAAATAAACAATTCAAGAGAAAAATCAATGAGGAATTGTTTACCGTGTCTCTTCTAACTTTATCTCCTTTTGTTGCAATTCTGGTCTTTTTTACCCATCCTGGTGGTAACCCTTCTGCAATAGCTTTCTCAACTACAACCTAGATTGCTTGAATAACCAAATTTTCCCACATAAGTTATACAATCAGTTACATAAACATAAAATAATGTCATCAAAAGAAGAATTTTCTTGACAGACATTAGGAGAGATTTTCTGTATGCTGACTTTGTTACTAGCATTGTCTTTGTTACTAGTATTGTCAATATGGCGAAATACCTCCACCTTGGATTTGAATTTTAGTCCACTTGAGGGGAGAATGTAGTACTGCAATAAATATAACTTGAATAAGAGGAATAAGATTTGAGCTGCATCATAAAGTTTCTATGACTATTATGTACTCCTTGGCTCCTTGGTCCAATCAGATTAAATTATTCTCAAGCAACTATTCAAACCATTCAAGCCATACACAGATTAAATATTAAACAAAATGATTTTATCAACTATCATTAAAGGTAAAAAGATGTTAAATCCAACATATATGGATTTTCATTTAAAATTTACTAAATCATGATAGAATCATAATAGACTATTAAGGAGGTAGATAATTTAACTTATAACCAACCACTAATAATTAATTGTCAACTTTTTCTGCTCCCCTCAATATTATAGTATAATTCCCTAATAACAGTACTCAAAAACAATAAAGGTAATATATACCAATAAAGTCACCTGAATGAAATTTTAACCCAATTTCTTTTACATCTCCTTTGAAACAAATGGATGTAGTGATGAATGATAAAGATCAAATGTCAGTTTGGATAAACTTCATAACAAGTTAATTTTAGCTTCGAGGTGAACTTAATTATATTTTCTTCTTAACACATTACTACAAAGAAACATCAAAATGACTCTCAGTCTTAAATTTTATGAGCCAATAAAGTTAAACCATATGGAAAAGTTAAGCATAAACAACTTTCTAAACTTGTTTTTCCTTTTCAGTGTCTTACTTCATTCTTTCCAGAGTTAAAATCATCATTCAAAAATCTACTAAATCAGAAAAACAATTCCCCTAATAAGGCTGTTTGGAAGGCACCACTGTTGAGCCTACTGTTGCAAAGACATATCTATATTCAACACACACATGCAACATATGAAATGCT